TCAGCTTGAATTGGCAAGAAAATTTGCAATTTTCTTTGCAGTGGGTCTGAAGGGTATCAGTCTGAGATAGCTGGATATGAACTAACTGTAATCTAAATAAATAATAGTACCAATCATAGTATTGTATTCTGCTATTTAGGAAATTCATTTTGCATAGTTGTCTTTAAAAATAATGAAAAAAGGTTTTGAGGTACAACAGCTCCTGAGTTTCTCTCTAAATACAGTACTTCTTATCAGGTCACTTATTTCCTTCTTGTTCGTTAGATTCTTTCTGTTCTTTTGGTTCTTTCTAACTTGAGACAGCTCTCATGCTGCTGATTCATCTGTGTTATTTCTGACTGACCTCACAAAGTGCTTTTTCTTTAGCTCACCAATTTTTGTCAGTTCCAGTAAGAATATCTGAATAGTTTATATATGAATTAACTCTAGCTCTTTGTATCTAGGGACATTCATTACAGTTTTCAGTGCCCGTGAACAGCCATAAAAGCATTTAACAGTAATGCAAATTTAAATTTAGTTGACTAGGTAATAAATCACTCTTTTGCTTTTTCCTCCCTTTTATCTTTTAGATCTCTATTGCATTTGCTATACAGCAGACTTACATTTTATTTCCTGTTACCACTCCTGCCTGATGCAGCTTTAGCAAACCTCTTTACATTTGTTTTCATATTAATAACCTCTTTTCTGCTGATCAAAATACTTGATCTGAGACAGGTCTTTATTATTATTGTCATTGATATATAGAAGGTCCCTCCTAAGATTTTTCTGGTTGCATTTCTTACATCTTCAAACCGGATGGATTTGCCTCTGTGCATGCTCTAACACTTTTCGTTTGGAAACATTCCCTTGAGAACAGACCTGCCAGCTCCTGAGGGACATGCTATGTCCGCCTGGGAACTATTTTGTTCATTCACCCCACTGAAAAAGGATGAGGAAGCCATGTTTCAGTTTCCCCCTTTCCCTCTCCCACGGCCATTGAAGGTGGGAAGTGTTTATCTTCTGTCAAGAATGAACCCTTCCCTGAAGCTGTTAGGAAATCTCAGCCCAATGCTGCATTGATGATGACGGTGAGGTCCCATACACGTCAGATGCTGCAACTGGGAAAGCATTTTGCAAATGGCTGTGCTGGCTGATTGATGCCCCCCAGCTCCAAGTGATGCCCATCATGCAGCACCGCAGCTTTTCTGTCAGAGAGGCTTTCGGAAGGGTCTATAGGCTGGTCTGGTATAACTGGCCATAGGAAGGAACAGCCCAGTTGCGTCAAGGTCTCTCTTTTCACTTTGTTGCATCAAGGTCTCTCTTTTCACTTTATGCACACGATGACCTCTGAAGCAGGAACTCTTTCCAAACACTTCTACAGCAGTGGCCACGCTTTAACCTGATTTATTTTTGATGGGCCCTATTTCAGTACATCTGTTTATCTAGTGAAATTGATCCTCTAGTGAACCATGCCTGCATAGTCCTTGTTAACAGAAGAAATACTGTGTACCTCATCCTCTTCTAGACCAGAGGCAGCTGCAGAAGATTGTGGAGATCCCGACGAGCTCCTTAAAGCTTGAACTTCTGCAGCTGGTCACTTGAGTCAAACAAATAACATTTCTAGCAGCTTCCACACAGAAGTGTTTCATTATGTTGTCAGGCATGAAAATTGTATTGCCGCTACGTACAAATGTTTTTAGAAGAAGTGACAGCTTTTTGATTTATGTGTCTTTAAGATTCTAGCTGAAGCTGGTGATGATATGCGACACCACAGAGGAGAAAGGCATTTTCACTGTGAGAGCCTAAGAAGGAAAAGTACTCTTTGTTGCTTCTCACAAAATTAGGCTTTCTGTTGGGCAATATGAGAGACATTTTAAGACCGCATAGGAAGAAAGCTCTTTTTCAGAACCATCCAAATATGACTCACCCTATTTAAGAGAAATTTTCCAGCTGTACTTAGAGGTTAGTCTTAGCTTCTTTGAACATGTACATGCTTGTGTTGAAAAGACTGATAAGTAGTGAGTGGTTCTGGGATCTAAATTCTTCCCAGAAAAGTTCCTACTTTGAGGAAGGGGGCGGAGAGAAACAAACCTTTTATTTAAGGTAGCTGTTGTAATGTATTTTGTGACATTTCCAGGGCTGATGAGAAGGACAAAGAGGAATAATAAAAGAAGATAAAGGGAAAATTATTTATGTAGAATCTTGAGGATTTTTAAACTATGAATTAGCATATACACTCACTATTTTAGATTATGAATCTGTTTCATCAGCAGTTTTCTGATGTTCTAGATTCTCTCCTTGCTGTGCCACTGAAATATCTTTCTGAATTTCTTTGCGAATGCTTTTTAATCACAGAACATATTATTTCCCTGAAACTGATAATGAAACAACAGTACTGTTGTTGAAAAAACAACAACTTTTCTTCAGTACTTCGAAGTGGGAAAAAAAGAAACCTGAGTAACCTTGGCTGGCAAAAAAAAAAAAAAAGCCAGAAACCAACAAACCCCCAAAACCTATTCAGTAGTAGAGTTGTGGCTGTACTTTAAAATTCACGACTTTATACTAAAAAGACTGTGAAACCACAAGAACCATGCTTCTGAAGTGAAACTTTTTTTCTTCCTTAATGCAAGATGCACGCAAGTAAACAGCAGATGTTAAAATTTTCAGATATTTAAGACATCAAAGTTTTCCTCCAGTACATATATGGGAGATTTAAATAGATATCTCATTTTAAAATCAGCAGGAGATATCTGAGAAACATATTGCCAAGAAAGAAAAAAAGAAGTTTGCCTAGTACAGTCCAGTCGATATATTATTGTATGCCAACGATCTGGGAAGAGTAAGATTGATATCTGAAAGCGTTTCAGCAGCATATCTGGTCAATACCTAAATCCAAACAGTTTTATTTGTTTCTTCAGAATAAGTATCATTTCTTTAAATAAGCTGTATTAGTTATGAAAAATACATATACATATCCTGACCAGAGCATTTAGATTATAACATCATGAGCAGATTTCCTTTCTCCCTAAGACAATATTAGCCTCGGATTACCCAGTCCATCTCATAATTTATGCCTGGACTGACAATTTAAAAATAAATAAATAAATTCACTAAAGAGATGCAGTCTTGTTTCACACAATTCAAGTGGGAGAGTATCTACCCTGTCCCCTGGTATTTTTTTTCCATAAGGTTAATTACCTATGCTGTTTAAAGTTTGCTGTGAATCACAGTACAGCTTATCAGAAGAACGCAGATCTCAGCTGCTTGTATTTTCTTTGTTGTCCCTTAATGTATTTTTTTTCCTAAGCTGTATTTAAAGAGTGGGCCAGAAGGGCAGAAACAAACACACATTTATTTCTGTCTTAGAACCTACCATTTGATCTTTTATTTTCTTTTAGTGGTGTATAGAGCCAGTTAAAACTCTTGCCGTTTAGAAGTGTGTCCCATTGATCTTTTGGAACAGCGCTAGTTTGGACCTTCAGTTCTCAGCCAGAGTTTGGCACCACGCTGATCGCTTCTGTGCTGTGTAATGGATTTGTCACAGCGGTATTTATAAAGAATCTTTTCTTGAAAATAAAAAGACATCTTCACCCCACCTCCCCTCCCCAAAAAGGGGAGTTAAAGAAAGAAATAAAAAAAAAAAAAAAAGAAAAAAAAGTAGACTGAAAAAGACACTGCCAAACTCTGTGGGAAGAAGAGAAGTAGGAAATAAAGTGGGAAGCAAATTTGTTAAATCCGGTGCTTATGTAAGAGCAACAACTTCACTGAGTGGAATTACTGGATGAGATAAAAAGCATCTGGCAATTCACGCAATTTTTCAAAACTAAAAACAATGTAAGCAAAAAGCTACTGCTTCTCTAAAAATACAGTTTTACAGTGATTCTAGCTTATTGAGTATGGAGATATATGTATGTTGATAAACTAATGCTGCATTTTTAAAAAGTCACATCACAATCACAGAGGAATTTCTGTTTAAATGCCTAGTTTCTAGCTTTCATGTAAGAATATATATAACCCATTTCCTTTACACTGTCACTCTTCTTAGAAGCACATGGATAATTATAATTGTAAATAAGCATTATATAATTGAAATATAAATCAGCATTAAAATTTTTAGAATTAGTTTTCCTTTGAATGCTTTCATTTCTGCTCTATTATAAATGATGGATTAATTTCCATTCACTTCTTTTAAATACCTTTGAGCAAAAGCAGTGATTTCACTGCTTAAAATCCTAACTTCCTGCAGCAATTTATTTCTTTTTATTTTTTAATTACTGGTACAGTGTGAACTATCATATCTTGTCCTTAAACTTTATTTCCAGAGGTAAAAAATGAAAAATCTTTCCAATTTTTTTAGTTTATACTTTTTTTTTTTGATTGACACATTAAAAAAGATTTATATTAAATAGAGATTAAAGCACACTATTAGATTCAAAGTCCTCACCACCTCCTAACGAAAGATTTTAAGTCAAATAACACTGTAAAAGCTCAGTCAGGCTAACTGTAATACAGCAAGACCTGGATTTAATCTTGAAATACTCTATGCTCAGGGGACCTTTTGTGTTGAATTTAACTCATCACAAACTGGCTCTGCTGAGTGCCACAGGTGAGCATGTTTATCTCAGAAATAATAGGTGTGGGATAGGTTGGATCCAGAAGAGAAAGGAAAAACTGAGGTGATCTTGGGGTGACTAAATAACCTTCTTTGAGCTGTAGTCAGGCAAGAGTTGGAGGAAGCTGAACAGTGTATTTCTATAATGTAGATATGTGTTCCTCTAGGGCTATACATACCTTGCTTGTGGTACTACCACTTCTATTATGATCTCAGCAAGCACTCACAGAAAGGACTTGAGCCTTGCTTATCAGGGCTACTGCTCAAATGTTTGCATGTCCATGAGCAATCTGCACTCAGTTTTCTGAGGTTCCTCAGCCCCAAAATACTTGCAATGTAGAGAGTTGTGTTTGTAAGGGTCTCAGGTTTCAAAGCACTATCTTATATTCTTCCTTGCATCCTCATGCAGGATATATTTTGGTCCTCTGGAGACAGATGCTTCCAGAAACAACCTTCCCTACAGAAGTCCAGCCTGGCCTTGAACATCTCCAGGGATGGAGCATCCACAACTTCTCTGGGCAGCCTCTTCCAGTGTCTCACCACCCCCAGGGTAAGGATTTTTTTCATAATATGTTATCTAAATCATAGAATCATAGAATTGCCCAGGCCGGAAGGGACCTCCAAAGGTCATCTAGTCCGACCTCCCCGCAGTCAGCAGGGACACCCCCAACTAGACCAGGTTGCCCAGGGCCTCATCGAGCCTCTCCTTGAATATCTCCAGGGAAGGGGCCCCAACTGGGGCAACCTGTTCCAGTGCTCCACCACACTCACAGTGAAGAAGAAGAAGAAATCTATCCTCCTTCAGTTTAAAACCCTTACCCCTTGTCCTATCGCTCTATTCCCTGATAGAGAGTCCTTCCCCATCCCTCCTGTAGGCCCCCTTTAGGTACTGGAAGGCCACTATAAGGTTTCACTGGAAAAGTCGTGATGCTCTACTTATACTGTGTCATTACGTGGTGCATATTCTAGTCTGTTTTTCCCTGTGAAAACAGCACCTGTAAAGGAAGCCAGAAAGGCACAGGGTAGGTGGGGGCTGTGAAGATTCAGAACGTAGCCGAGGGTAGAAATTGTACTTATTAGTGCATGGGATTTCGTTATAGAATCAACTCATCACCCAACCCTAGCAAAACACGATGGATTCCGTCAGAAAGCGTTTTTGGTATCCAAGTGTAGTGACAAGCAGAGGATGGCTGGGAAACGGTAACAGACCCAGCGGAGTGCTGTGGGGATGGTGGGCTTTTTTCTGCTTTATTTTGCCTTATTGTTTTAAAGGTCTTGTCCTTCCACTGGAGGGAAATAAAGCAGTACCCTCGCCAGGTTTGAGAATGCCAAGATGTGCCGTTGGTACACGGTGGGCACGGGCAGATTCCATACTTTATTAATATACCAAAAAATAAGCTTATTCACAACAACAAAGAAAGTCGCTATATCCCGATAATACTGTGAAGTTACCCGGCATTTCGGTACCGTTATGAGGAGAGGCTGAGGGAACTGGGGTTATTCAGCCTGGAGAAGAGGAGGCTGAGGGGAGACCTTATTGCTCTCTACAGCTCCCTGAAAGGAGGGTGTAGAGAGATGGGGATCGGTCTCTTTTCTCAAGTCACGGGCGACAGAACAAGAGGAAATGGCCTCAAGTTATGCCAGGGGAGGTTCAGGCTGGATATTAGGAAAAATTTTTCACTGAAAGGGTTATCAGGCATTGGAATGGGCTGCCCAGGGAGGTGGTTGAGGCACCATCCCTGGAGGTGTTCAAAAGACGGGTTGATGTAGTGCTGGGAGGTATGGTTTAGTGATGGTGTTGCTCCTTGTTTGTTGTGCGGGTGTCTATTTTTGTCAGTTAGGTTGACGGTTGGACAAGATGATCTTTAAGGTCCCTTCCAACCTAGAAGATTCTGTGATTCTGTGACCGATCACCAGCTCTCTGAGATAATCACCTCATTACGCCTTAACGAACTCGACCCCCCGCGCGCCGCACAGGTGCACCGCGGCCGCTGACTGAACCTCGCGTGAGGGCCGGGCGGCGCGGGGCGGGCTTCCTCAGGTGCGAGATCCCGCGCGCCGCTGTCGCGAGAGTCGCTCACGAGGCCTGCGCGTTGCCGAGGCAACCGCACGCGGCTGTGGGGAGGAGCCTGAGGGAGCGGGAGGGGCCAGGACAGGCCAGGGCATGTCCGCCCCTCTTACCGGCTCCGAGCGTCCTTCCAGTCCGGCCATCGCCTTCCCAGAAGGAGTTTGGCTGTGGTAGCCACCCAGCAGGTAACCACCATGGCTCCTCTGCAACATATTGGGGGGGAGGACGTGGGTGTGTTGGAGCCTTAAAAAAAAGGCTGAGAGAGTTCAGCCTGGAGATGAGAAGGCTCCAGGGAGACCTCAGAGCCCCTTCCAGTCCTTAAAGGGGCATATAGGAGATATGGGGACAACCTGTTGAGCAGGGTCTGTTGCAACAGGGCAAGGGGTGATGGCTTTAAACAGGTCTAGAGAACAAGTCCTATGAGGAGAGGCTGAGGGAACTGGGCATGTTTAGTTCGGAGAAGAGGAGGCTGAGGGGAGACCTCATTGCCCTCTACAACTACCTGAAAGGAGGGTGTAGAGAGGTGGGGGTTGGACTCTTCTCCCGATGGAATAATGACAGGACCAGAGGAAATGGTCTGAAGTTGCGGCAGGGGAGTTTTAGATTAGATATTAGGAAGAAATAGTTTACTGAGAGAGTGGTCAGGCACTGGAACAGCCTGCCCAGGGAGGTGGTGGAGTCACCATCCCTGGAGGTATTTAAGAAACATGTAGATGTGGCTCTTCAGGGCATGCTCTAGTGCTTGAGATTGTTGGTTTGTGTTTGTTTGGGTTTGGTAGTTTGTTTGGGTTTGGTAGTTTGTTTGGGTTTGGTAGTTTGTTTGGGTTTGGTAGTTTGTTTGGGTTTGGTAGTTTGTTTGGGTTTGGTAGTTTGTTTGGGTTTGGTAGTTTGTTTGGGTTTGGTAGTTTGTTTGGGTTTGGTAGTTTGTTTGGGTTTGGTAGTTTGTTTGGGTTTGGTAGTTTGTTTGGGTTTGGTAGTTTGTTTGGGTTTGGTAGTTTGTTTGGGTTTGGTAGTTTGTTTGGGTTTGGTAGTTTGTTTGGGTTTGGTAGTTTGTTTGTTTTTTTGAGGTTGGACTCGATGATCTCAACGGTCCCTTCCAACCATGAGGATTCTGTGATTCTGTAAAAGAGAGAAGATTTAGACTACATATAAGGAATAACTTTTTAACAATAGAATCATAGAATGGTTTGGGTTGGAAGTCTGTTCAGCTCTGTCATGAACAGGTTTTGGGGTTTCTTAATAAAATATGAAGAGATAAAAAATTACAAAATCTAACTAGATTGGAACTCTTTTTCTTTTTCTTTTTCTTTTTCTTTTTCTTTTTCTTTTTCTTTTTCTTTTTCTTTTTCTTTTTCTTTTTCTTTTTCTTTTTCTTTTTCTTTTTCTTTTTCTTTTTCTTTTCTTTCTATAATTTTGTGTGTTTTATTTGTAAATGGGTAATTTAAATGGTAGCTTGATCAGAGTATGTCTGTACTTACTACATGGGGGGGAGATTTTGATAATGTGTTCTTTGGTCCAGCAGACAGAAATATAAGATTGGAGGCTGGAAGCAGATCATAGGTATATTGAAATCAGATATTAGATGTTCCTAAAAGCAAAATAAAATTAAAATGAGGTCATTTAACTGGAAAGCTAACTAAGTGTTTTGGTTGATTGGCCATCACTGGTAATTTTAAAATCAGGTTCAGATGCGATTTCTAATTGAGGTAGCCTGATTCAAATGGAACCAAATCAGAAAAGTCATATGACCTGTGTTATGCAAGAAGATAAATTAGATGAGTACACTGAGTACCTTCAGTGCTCTAATTTATGGAAATGAAAAATAATTCAATCCAACCCGACAGTGATGCCAACCAACACAGCGGTTTCTTTGGCTTGGAATAATTTTGAAAAATCTGATCACTTCCTAAGAAGTGAACATAAACAAGGTTGTTTAAGCAATTGGGATGTCCAGCTATACTGAGTTTTAATGCTAGAACACATAGTGTAGCATTACATCCATGATAGTGGCATTGGCACACACAGACTAGGAAGCTGGCTGTGAATATGTAGAACAAATGATGGTAAAAACCAGATTTCTCTAGTTCAAGAGGGAGTGAGAGCTAAACAAAATCAAATAACTGTGAAGGGCACTCAATTCCTTTCCTTCCTCAATCTAGGCTACATTTTTTTTCTATCCTTGGAGCCATTAATGATCACAATCAATAGTAAGCTGATGGTTTCAGAACTTTAATGTGTTCTCAAGGAAAAATAATTACTACCTAATTTATCTGGAAATACCAGAGCATATTGAATTTTTCAGTAAGTTGTAGACATTGTTTTGTCAGAGCATTTTGCTTGGAAACACAGTAATACGGTTTACGTCAACTCCAAGAAATATTTTGACCAGTAATCTGAATCACTGAAATTAAACTTCAGTATAAATCCTCAATGATTCTGTCTAACAATCCAGAAACACTGAAACAGGCTGTTTCAAAATTTCTGTAATACTTTTAGAAATGTGTAACTCCGTCATCTGACAGTCTCAGGGTGTGCCTGAATTGTGCTAGTAACCTGCAAACAGGATAAATGCGTCAGCCCGGTGCTAAGATTGATCTGATAAGGATAGCTGCAACCTTTAATTGGTCTGTCTAGGTCTGTGCTGCTGTGTAGGCTGTACTGCTTCTGGGTTAGGCAGCCAGGTGGTGCTGCGAGGACAAGAGGTGCCAGCTCACTTCCATGAAACTGTGCATATGCACGTATTTGTATCGCCTCCTCCATGGGAAATAAATAAATAGATAAATAAATCTGTTTTCATTAAGCACTATAAGCTTAAAAACCCGTATTTGGAGGTTTTTGCAACCTGAAGAAAAAAAAAAATGGTTCTAAGAATATAAAAGAAATTCAAAGGCTTTCTTCAAAATACAGATAAGAGTTAAAAATGCTACACAAACAGCTGAGACTCAGGGGTTTCAGTGGCTGGTTTCTTTTGCATATTTGTGTCTTTTTGTATCCATTTTACAGATACCACGTTCATGTCTTAAAGTTCCACCTATAGCTCATAAAAAGAATTAGTCTTACAAACTTGAAAGAATGAAAGAAGTGCAGATGAGAGGGAAACAAGTGCAGAGTGCTGCTTGTGTTGCCTCACTGCATTAAACCCCATGCCATATAGCTTTTACTGTGTGTGTTCAGTATAATTCTTCTCCTTGGCCATAGCTTTCATGGCTATGGAGCCATCAGATACAAGCTTTGCGTAATTGCATAAATGTTAAACAAGCAGGGTCGGGGTCACTGGGTTAATTATTTATTCTGCATCCCACTGGAAAAGGAAAACAACGTAAACAACTTTTATTCATCTAAATGAGGCTGCTACTTGTACATAAACTGATACAGCCTCTGCCATTGATAGGGCTGAGTGGGGTGTAGTATCACATGAAAATGAAAAGCTGTA